GGGGGGGGGGGGGGGGGGGGGGGGGGGTCTCCTCCCGGGGTGGAGATGGGTGCTTCTGGGGATGCTTCAGTCACTTACACTGCCTTTCCTGAGTGTAAGTCTACTCTCGCTGATGATGTCTTTACCTCTGTCTGAATGAAGAAGTGAAATGTTTTGGTGCAAGATTACATCACGGATCACCTCATACACACTTTTATTTATTTCCAAGAAAGTCCAAAGATTGGAGTTTTAAGAGGAGGGCTGCAAGTTTGCAATCCAACTTCTTTACATTTACTAGCCCTGAATGTCTTCTATGTCCACATCTCACATTGCATTACAAACAATTGTCTTTCTTTCTCAACAACAGCCCCTTTTAGGAGAAGTATTTTTGAGACATGCTTGCTCTGCAGCTGCATTGCTTGCCATTTCTCCAGCCCTGAATGTCTCCTCTGTGCTCACTGATTCAGAGTTATGTCTGAGAATAATATGTCCCGCTGCTAGCAGTGTCCCATTACCATGCAGAGAAACTTGGGAGGCTGCGTCTCAAATTGCTGTCTCCCACAGACACGGATGCTAAACGTCCATCACTGCAGCACATTAATCATTGGACACATCGGACCTCAACGTCTCGTTACCTAGCGTCTGGCATTGCTGCAGTGTGTCCCCACGAGCGTTGAGGTTACTCCTTCTGTCAGCCTTATCACATCACCAGATCCTCCTTATCATCTTGCGTTATGTGCTAACAGGACACCGCACTGAGCGCACTCACAAAACTGCATTTATATTTCGACGCCGAATTAAACACACAAATACTAGCCGTTGGTCTAAATGACATAAAGCTACAGAGAGGGAAATGTAAGAATATTCACCGTATAAACTGTCGTTTCAGCGGCGCAGGTATCGCAAGCTTGACTGTTGACAATTTGGCTATCAGCTGGTAAACGAAAAAATGTTAACACTTCCTGTAAAATGGCGCATGCGCACTGCGTGCCGCATTGGCAAACCTGACCGCATTCCCTAACGGTCCGTTCAGTGACTTCACATTTTTAGATTCTTCAGTTTCTACTAAATTTACTAATTTAGACTCACTTTTATCTTTTTTTTTTATTAGCCGAAAACAAGATATGTTCAATTTACAACGCCAGGTTTAATCAAGGCCCAGCCGAGCGTATTACCACCGCAATCAAACATGTTAACCTTAATGTGTTGATAGCCTGAAGGGGCGTTTGAACGGGAGTCATACTCATGTGGCCTCCACGCCGCAGGGGGCGCTATAACGCAGATAGGCAGGCACTCGGAAGTCTTTACCACATGAAGGATGTTTGGATTGTTTAGATCTGTGGACTCCTCTCAGTACTTAAAAACACTTTGCTATTTATATAATACACTGTTGAATGTGTGTTGGACTTTTTGACATTATGCCAACGTCTAACAGAAAGAAGCAGGGAAAGGACACCGCGGTAAGTCTAATGCATTCATTCACTAACGTTATAGATAAACCTGATATAAGTATGAACAACTTGAGGTACTTGTACTTGCATGCAATTTCTATTACATGCCACTGTATACTTCTGCAATTCAGAGGGGAATATACTTCTCACGCTACATTTAATTGACAGCTTGCAACAATGCTACTTGTGCTGTATATTAATACACTAGTAATCCATTAATGTGTAATAATCTTGTACCTATATATATATATATATATATATATATATATATATATATTTTTTTTT